CTTTGGTTTCAGTCCCCAGGTTTTCCCAATAAGGCGGCGGCATACACACAATGTCTGCTTCGCCTTACTCACCACTTTTTCCAAGTGCGCATTCCAGGTAAGCTTATTATCCAGTATCACTCCTAGATATTTTACTTCCCTGGAAAATGTAATGCCCCTCTCCCCTATTATAGGTTCAGAGAGTCCAGTTAAATTTCTTCTCCTGTGAAGGGTACTACGACCGTTTTGTCAGGGTTTACTGACAGTGCCTGCCCCTTACACCAGTCATCTATCCATTTCAAAGCCTCTTTCATGAGTTCTGAAACGATAATATTATGTTTCCTGACTATGAGAACGACCAAGTCGTCCGCATAGCCTTGTGTATAAAATCCCTTTCGATTAAGGCCCTCCAGTGCGCCGTCCACCACTAATCCCCATAACAAGGGAGACAGTACGCCTCCCTGGGGGCAGCCCCGGCCTACCATACACCTGGATGTTTCTCCCGGTGTTACTATCCGGTTTCTCAACATGGTATCTATCCAACGACACAAAGTGTCATCAAGGCCCCTGTTGCGAACTGCCGAATTAATAGATTCGAAAGGTATATTATCAAATGCCCCTTCAATATCTAAAAAAGCTGCCAAAGCTAGATCTTTGTCGCCCATCGCCCTCCCTATCCTAGAGACTAGGCCATGAAGAGCTGTGTCGACTGATCTGCCTGCCTGATAAGCGTATTGGTACCTGTGTAGAGGAGTTGCCCCCAACACCCCGTCCCTTATATGCCTATCAACTATTCTCTCCAACGTTTTCAGGAGGAAAGATGTTAAACTTATCGGGCGATATGCCTTTGCCTGGGCATACGATGTACGCCCTGGTTTAGGAATAAACGCCACGTTCGTCGATCTCCATGCCAGCGGTATATAACCAAGTGCAATGCTGGCTCTGAAGACGAGTGAAAAGCTACTAGAAATATGTATACAGGATGTTACAAATTCACTTCTCACTACAGGGATCTCGGAAACGGTAAGAGATACGAAGTAGCTTAACTGGCACCAAAAAAAAGCCTCTAAAAAATCAAGGCTAACATGATTAGTTTTCGAAATATTTGAAAAAACCGAAATTTTGAAAATCCTGAATTTGGAGGTCAGGTAAAGGTCGTTTCAAGGTCAAACTTGTATTGAATTTCGACCAGTGCGTATATAAGTTTTTGTTTGAGGGAGGAGAACTGAATTCGGGGATAGCTTAGCCCTACAAGGTCACATTTAGGTCAAATCAAGATAATTTCACGGTCAAAGTAAGAAAAGGCCTTTCAACTGTAAGTATGTATGCTTTTGAGGTCACTGAACCTATAAGGTCACCTGGAAATAATGATTGGAATTTATTATACCTGTAACCGCAACTGTGAAAGGGCATGTCAGATGTATTTATATGATTATCCTGAAAAAAATTAGACCGAATTTTGTTTGAATTTTGAGCACTCGAGAGACCTAGAAATAACTACAGTCCTGACTTGCAGAAATTGGTACTAATTCTAATACTTACGATCGTGTATGGCTAGGCAGTCTTTTAGATGATTTTTTGGTGAACCCTGTATAGAAAAATCACATTTATTCATTCCGCTTTGCTTTCCGATTCAATGAACACGGGGTATGAACCCCCTTCAAGGTCGATATAAAAATAACCTCATAGTAAAGCAAACTGTTCTTTGCATAGCCCAAAGCTATGTTATTTAAAAATTATTTAATCACACGATTCGCCAATTACCCGGTTATAAATAATTAATTAGTTTCATTTTCTCTCTAAGCCGCTCGAACGATGGTAAAATTTTAGCGTTTTTATGTAATGTTTAACAAATTGTAGGAATAGAAAGTTAATAATTTAGGGAAAACCGAAAGTGAATCTTTAATTATGCTTCACAGTGCTCGCGCCTCGTTCATCCAAAAGAAGAAACGGTGGTTGTGTAGTTCAAGAGAATTAATTTCGTATCAAACAGAGGAAAAAATCTTTTCTTGTGTATATATGTACATACATGATTATTATTCACTTTAATTGTTATATTTAACAGGACAAGCATTAAAAATTATAAATTGATACATTATTAAAAATTTTAAGCAATTATTATTAGACTGACGTAATAGGCACCAAGAAAATTAAATAAATTGCTGTGATTGCAGTTGTCATTATTGTTCTTAAAAGTTTGAATTGAAATGTTAAGTTAAAAATATTTGGTGATACTCCCCAGACGTTTCAGGCTTCAGAGATTGCACGTACGTCTACTGTAAAACCTGAATAATACGAATTACGAAAAATACGTTCCTTGGTTATTTTTCAGAAAGGGCAAAGCATAAACCATCCGAATATTCCACGATGAAAGTAACTGATACGTGAAGAAGACATCTTGTGATACGTAGATCAAAATGGAACCTAACAACAAATCAACAAATTGCGGATTTATCATTAGGTATTAATTACTGTTATAACAGTTTAAGTAACAAATTGCATGTTTTTATAGCACGCGTTCTGAAATCTGTGGGAAAAAAACAATTAGGCAGGTTCTCATGTCTGTACTACTGCTTTCTTCAAATTAATGAACAGTTACATTATAACATTATCACGAAAGAGATGTACCAATGATCTATACTCTATAATCTATATTATAGATTTCTGTTTTAATTCTCTTCTTTAGCTTGATGTATCCAGTAGAACTCCCCAAAGCATTTCTTGGACCAGTTCTCCTTTGTATCTATTTGCTCTTCAGATATCTAACCTAATTTCATTTAATTCATATACAGATTCTTCATGGTACGAGGCCTATTAAACGTTTCAGAGAAACTAAAGATAATATGACTCTGAAATTTTATTTAGGGAGTTTATCAGTTATATAAAATAATGTCATAAACGTAGGTAGCACTTCCGATTATACCGAGTCAACTTCGTTATTTTAAATGGAACATAAAAATCTGTACCTACATCTAACCGTTTTCGAGATAATCGACATTTTATAAAAATTTTGACAGGTGTAAGCGTTTTGAAAATTCCTTATATTTTCCTTCGTTCTGGCAGCTTTCAATTGCTTTTCGGTATACATAAAGAACATAATATGCACTACCATTTACTATCAAAATTACCTGAAGGAAATTATACTAAGTATCCCATTTTTTATGTTACATTTTGAAACCTTAAAACCGACAAAGCTCTTTAAATTCAAATGAAACAACCTGTATTTTTTTGCATTATGAATCAGAATTATTAATTGTATTTCAATGAAACAGAATAATTAATAAGATTATTTCGGTTGGCTGTCTTAGAATTTTTCACGAATTTTTAAAATTATCGTTATAGTTTTTAAAGAATAGCAAACATAAATAATTTCAAATAACTAATAAATGCATTATCAGATAATTTTATGAGATTTGGAATGAAGTTGAAAAGATATAATTTAAAATTTTTGGTTACTTTACATTTCATTGTTCTCTTAATGAAAGGATAGGTATCTACTTATTTGCTCTTTATTGTAATTACAGTTACTGATAATATCATCCCACTGGAAGGAAATCTTATTATTATTTTTTATACAAATATTCCCTCATTATTTAAAAGATCCAACAAACGCGAAGCAACACATTTTATTAATGTAATTATGAATAAAAAAATAATAATAAAACATATTTCAATGTTCTACAAAGAACGTTATTGTATGTAGCTGGCCGAGTTCATTCGCGTCCAATTTAGTATAATTTTCTTCAGGTAATTTTGCTAATAGGAGGTAGTGCATCGTATGTTTGAGTGTTGTCAAAAGCAAGTGAAAGTTTCCTGAATGAAGAAAGATATAAGGAATTTTCCAAGCGTTTGTCTCTGTCAACATTTGTATGAAAAGTCAATTATCTCGAAAACCGGTTAGATTTAGGTACAGGGAAGTACATTTTTGACTTATTTTTATTCTAACTTGTCGATAGTACAATAATAAACTAATGTAAAAAATTAAAGGGTCAAAAGTATTTCCGAAATTCTTCCGTGATTTTTGACAGACTGTATTCAGGTGGAATTTAGGAGGAATTAAAAAAAAACAACCAATATTCTAGTTTTTAGATCTTTCGGTCGAAATTTTTTAGGAGCTACGGTGATCATACAATTATAAGAAATAGCACAACAAAATTTTACCACGGACTTGGAAACATTTTTTTCAGCTGATGAAACAGATAGCTTGTTTATTCAGCTTCAATTTGCTTTTATTTTTTAATTTCGATACGACCATTTTTCATCGAAATATCGGACTTTTAATGGAAAAGGATCCTTTTGTCTTCAATTATCGATATCTTGGCGACAAGTGGTCGTATAGAGAATTGAAGGGCAGTTTCGAAAACTGGAGTAAATTTGCTATAACATGCTGCCGTAACTTTTTGGAAAAAACATTTGTTTTATATTTTACACGAATTTTAAAAAACAGGAAAAAATCGTAATTTGACGCGAAATGACTAATGTTAGGCATGCATGACTTTTACAGTTTGATATACCCAGAAGAACCCTGTGAAGTTTCATCTCGATCTAGCGAACCGTTTCTTTGTTTCAAACAGTCAAACTTTTGAAAAAAAATTAAAGCTTTAGCTTTGAGCTTAAACACTTCATAATCATGATTAAAATGGAAAAAAAAATTTTGAGGTTTTCTCAAATTTTTACCGCAAATAACGTTTAAACTGATAAACAAAAATTTTGAATTATTTCATTAAACAGAGCACATCTGATAATCCCCGAACACAAAATTTCAGTCATGTTATCTATGGTTTCTCCGAAACGTTTTCTTCGCAAATTAAGTGATAAGAGTGATTTTTATCGTTTTCGACAAATAACATGACTGACTTAGAATTACATTGAAAAATGTATTCATATTTCATAATTACGTACATCATCTTCTGTGAATAAGAAATACCTACGCCGCCGCCACTGGTAACTTTACGAAAGTGCAGGTATCAAGTATAACAACGCTGAATCTGTGGTTGAATATACATAGTACTGCTTATCCTTATACCATGAGTTTGACTCCAATATCCACAATCTACACAATCTATATCGTAATGTTAATAATGTCTAGTAATAAAAGTAACGCGAAACCGTTAGTTTAATACTCGCCGAGCGGAATGCGTCATATTTACAGATAAGGAAAACAAACAAAACACCTAGTACCTACTTCATAAGATGGCAAAAGATAGGTTAGGTGAACTACGAAAGGTAATTTATCGAATTTATTACACTTACAATTAACATTTAAATGTTCAAATTGCCCTTAGGTGCAAGATAAGAAAACCAACGATGTATCCATTGACGTCGACGAGGTGAGGAATGGTTTAAATAAATAGACATGTCTCCGAAATCGAACTGTTTCAGGACACCAACCCGGCGCTTGGAGGCGACCTGAAAAAAACATTCGAAAGGGCCGAAGTGCTGGGACAGTGGATCGGGACCGTAGAACAAAATGTCGTGGCCATCCGGCAGTACATCGGCAAACTGGACGACTTAAGCATTAGCCAGAAAGGTGGGTAAAAAGTTGACGCCATTATCGCTTATTAATTTGGTATTGTGCCTACTTACTGTGAAAAAATCATAATCAATAATGATTAGATACCACTAAATTATAAACTAAGTATTTATGCGAGATGTGCCAAGGATATTACACGAACAATGTCCGATTACCTTGTGGTTACCGTGACGTTTTAATGGCCCGCGTATTTAGTAAACATAGGCGTGGCGTTAAAAGGAGTTAAGGATTAAATTTTATTTTATTTCCTAATTGATTTATAATCCGTGTAAATTAGACCAAACACATGCCTGTTTCAAAAATCGGGCCTAAATCGAATTTTATGGGCTTAAAATTAAGTAAAAAAATACACAGAATAAAAGCCTAAGTGTATTTGTAGAGGTCGAGCGTCATATCGTTTATAACAAAAGAAAAAAGTTCAGTTTTTCGCTTATATCTCGGAAAATAATAGTCCAGGAAATAAAGAGTTGGACGCGACTTTTTGTTTCGGCAAGCTGAATTTATTACTATAGATGCTAAATATTATGTACAATAACAGTTTCCACAGTCATAAAAATGGGGGGGGAAGATTGTTTACAGGGTGGTTAATTGTATAATTACAAAAAATACATTTGAAAGCTTATTTAATCAAGCATTCCGACAACTTATGAGTATGGCTGTCAGAACTGAGCCGCGGGACATTGGCGTACGCATTATTTATTAGTGTAGTAGGAGAAATTGAAAAAATTTAATTTCGTCGACTATAGCGCCATCTATCATGAATCTAAAAGTATACTTTAAACAAATCCTACGTACATTTAGCCATTGAATTCGAATCTGCAATAAAAAATAGAGGTTCCTATATAAGATTTCAAAGTTATCCCCCCTCTCACCTACAAGGGGGGCGGAGAGGGACTAATTTTAACACTAATATATTCCTTATGTGGTGTGATTAAATTTTGATTATGGACATTTTTTTTCGTAGTGTTTATTTCCCGAGATATTTGCAAGTTTCAGATTAAAAAAAATCAACTGGTTTACATACATAAAGCTTAGGATTTTCTTCTTCACATTGCAAGGAATAGGCGGCCTTTATACATATATTATTATCATTCGGACACATACCTAGATATATCTCGTCATTACTCTGGATCGTTATAGATTTGGGGGAAAAAATAGAAAGCCTGTTTCAAAACAACACGAGCATATGCCACAAAATCAACCCGAAATTTAAAGAAATGGAGGAAGAACTGAGGAATATAAACGTCGAATCTGCCGAAGGCAGGATAAGATCCATACAATATAATACGTTGAAAACTAGGTACCAGAAAATATTCAGACAAAACAGTTCCGAGTTGGAGAACTTTAGGAATATCCAGAAGTCCCACTTGGAGGCGCAACTTCGAGCTAAAGGAGTTCGGGTTACTGACGAGGAGCTGGTATCGCTTTTAGAGAATAATACGGATATCCAGTTGTTCACAGATAATGTAAGTGTTGGATCTTGTCATTGTACATATTCATTAAAACCAATTAAAACGCATCATCAGAAACATCTAAATTGCTAAATCTCAAAATATAATGATAATTTCTTGATGATATTGTTACACGGTTATGCAACCAAACTGACGTGTAGGTGTTGTAAATAGCAAATTTACTTTCTATATCAACGATGAAGACAATTTTTTCTTAAGGATGGAAACTGATGCATCTCTGGTTGCCTAAATTATACCGAAAAATGGTAGAAAACAGCCCTTTTTTATTCCAATATATCTTTTTAAAGCAATGGAAGAAAGTAGTAAAATTTCATATCACATTTGGCAAAGTATAAATGAAGACAGTAAAGCAAAAATTAATTGGGATAGGTAAATAATTCGTGAGAAATTAATTTCTAAATATGAAGGTTTTTTTGGACTTTTACAAATAAACGATTATTTCTTCATAGTATTATAGAATTATGCAAATTTTTATATAGTTGTCTTTTAATAAATAAACTGATTAGACTTTATTTCATAGTTTGTTCAACACTTTATTATTTAAAAAGTTATATTGGAATAAAATTATTAAAAAATATTCATTCATGAATAGCATTATATCTGTCATTTAATTCGCTTGATTTGTAATAGATGTCGCATTAGTAAACATTTATTTTTGAATGGACTCGGGTTATTTTTAACGAACAGCTGTTGTATTGTGGTTAATTTGCTATAACCTGAATCTGAATTGGTAGTCATGGTTTCTGTTAATTAATACGTAAATATTTAAAGAATGTCATGATCATTTTAGATATATTATTTTATAAAAGTATATAAGTAACAGTGCAAGTCCATACTATTATATAATTTTAGAAAATATGAAATATAAACAATTTTTAGTTTATTTAAAACCATAATTTAATATACCTATATTAGTATCTACGGTTAGTGGATAAGAGGGAAAACATTTTTATTTTCAATTCTACTAGAAAAAGTAATTCGTGACCAAAAATATTTTGTTTTTTAATTGAATATGGTTGTCATGAAAAACTGTAATTTATATATATACAGGGTGATCAGAAATTTAACAAAATTAATAACGTTGAAAAATAAACTGCTTTTGTTTTTGATAATATAAAAAAATGTTAATAAGAAAAGTTGTTCATAACGGAAAGTTATGTTATAATTACGATTTGTGAATAAAGCGGCTTACTTTGGTATAAACAGAAATGAAAAAAATATATTTTTAATAATTAATATTAAGTAATTCTTGATAAAAAAAATCGCATATTAATATAAATAGAATTTTAATTGTGAATATACATAATAATGAGAAAATATAAAAAATATCTACGATATACTTATTTTGTCCAAAAATTGTGTAAAGAATTATGTACAAAAGAACGATTTGAGACTAAATTTTTTTTATGAGAAATAGGTATTCAGTTCACTTCACTTGAAAAAATAGTTGTAGGTACTTTAATACCTCCAATATAAACAGAAATTCTGTGGAACAGTGTAGTTTAATAAATATGTAAATAAACGAAAGTAATAAAGAAATAAATATAATAGGTACAGTAGAACAGGAAAAAATTTAAAAAATCATAAAATAAAATTTCTTTTTATTAATTTGAGCTTCTATAATATATTGTGGATCCACACATCTTTTTCCTTGTGGAATATTTTTTTATATTATTTCTGGTAGTATACAATTTTTATAAAATTGTTCCAAATTTGTTGCCATTGATTTTTTCCATAATTCTTCATCTTTCTTAATTTGTTCTACATAGAGCGGGTTGTTTTCACCACTATAGGTATATTACGAAATAACATATTATATTCTCCCGGTTATATTAACTGTCTCTCTATCTGAAAGTAAGAAAAGAATTTTACCAAATAATATGTGTTATAAACATAGATAAATATAAATTTTTACCTATTATGCTTTTGATTTACCATCATGATATATCTAGTCATATATAGGGTGCCACAATAGTGCGATAAAGTTTAATATAACTGCCTGTAGTAGTGATCCGAAAAAAGTTATTTGCTCGGATTCACATTTTATTATTATTTCCATTATTCATTATTTTCAGACCGAATTAAACATTCAGAATATCTTGTTTTTGACCTGAAAATTTTGCCCTATACAACTATAACTGAAAATAATTATAAACCTTGTCACAATTGGAACAGCCTGTATGTGCATTGCAACAACAATATGTCATATTTTATATTACGGCTAAGTAAGCGGAAAGTCTATTGTCGCATATGTAATTTTTATTTTCAAATAATCAAATACAATACCTACATTTATTTTAATACCTATTATTTACTTGAATTTAGTACTAATACTTACTTACGTACTTTAGTTGTACTAATTTAGTACAACTATGCCCAGCAAATTGTAATACTTTGTTAATATTTTTTCCTTCATTTAAAAAATAGTAAACTCCACAAATAAAATATTTCGCAGCCACAACGCAACAATAAAAGATAACAGCTCAAAGATCCATACCAGAAATAACTACATTCGCACCTACTCTTGTCCGAATCCATATAAGTACTAAAATGTAGAAAATAATATGAAATAAAACTTTTAGTTGGTTGCAAATGTTATAAATTTGTACAACCACTTGCCATCCTCCTTTTTTGTAAATATGTACATATGTAGAAGATAGAAAATAGAAATATTTTCAGAACAAAAAACCGGCCGCAAATTGGAGTTTTTATTATTTTATTACCATTCTCTTTTTATGAGATAGCAAGGGAGTGGGATGGACGTATAGGCCGGACAACTCATTATCATGCACGTGTGCGTGCACCTGGCATTTTCTTGTTTTTTTTTTAGGTGCCGGAATTTGAATGAATGAAATAATCGTACTATTTTTACTATAAATGTATTTCCTGTAGCGACATCTATATGAATATTGTAGTACTTTGTTAGATGAAACGGGACTTCAATTTCCGTTCTTAACAAATTCCTTTCTTCAGATTATTGCAGAGACCGCAGAAGCGAAGCGGGTGCTTGCGGACATAGAAGAAAGACACCAGCAATTACTGAAAATAGAGAGGATGCTTGTGGAAGTTAGGGATTTATTTTTGCAAATGGCAATTCTGGTGGATACACAGGTATATTGGTTTATCTTGAAAGTTATTAAATTGACTTTTAGAAACAAAGTATCTACTTTTACTTTGGATAAAATAATTTAACATTAGTTGTGGAACTTTTTGAAAGATAATTGACTCAATGTGAGAGTAATGTGCGCGATGATGTGACAGTAATCAGAATTTCATGGAAGAATTCATATCAATTGATCTGAAACTAATATAATTTCTGCACGTATGCATAAAAAAATTAGAAGTAAACGTTGACATCCATAAAATTGATATACAGGGCGTAACTTTAAGGGAGGGGGGGAGGGGGCTTGAAGTGGGTTGGTTGGTTATTTTTTATAGGTAATAGTCCAAATCACTCCTCTCTTCTCAACACTGATAAAGTTGTGGTTTTTATTAGAAAAATCCATTAACAAACCTACTTCTGGCAAATTAGAAGAATTTACTTTTACGAAATTTGCTTCCATTTTTTAAATTTAATATGCACAAAGGCTGAAACATTCTGTAGATGCAGAGACTGATCTGGAAGTAGCGCCAAGCCGGCTGTCCGTCCCATGCGGTGACGTCATTGCATTGCCACGGCTGAGACAAATATTCCCATTTTAAAAATCATATAGTTAGAAAACCCCTCAACGGATTGAGTTGAAATTTTCAGGATCATCTAATCATGAGTAATACTTTGTGTATACAATATAAGAACGTTTTTGAAAATTTACTTAATGACTCATTGGGCGTGCACTAGTTGCTAGCGCGCGCGGTTTGAGGTTACACTAGCCAGTCCAGTGGCGGGGTATGAAAATTATGAAATGAAGGTTAAAAAAATTTTCAAAATTTTACACAAGTTTTCAATACAAAGACTTGTGATGTATGGTTCTAAAGGTCAAAGGAAATTTCCATGTAAATATGATCTCCATTCAAAGTAACACCCTGTATAGGTACCGAGAATATATTTTTTTATGAAATAATATTATCTATTTATTAAGTTAAAGTTTCTTATTAAAATAATCTGTAGACGAAAAATATTTTGTAACTAGACGAGTGTCGTCTTTTTTTTTCAAAATAATTACTAATTTTGGTGTGAGTTGTTACAACTTTTGTTTTTACATTGAGCAAAAAAAATAAATAAACTTCTAATAGTGCCTTTAATTAGTTAAATAATAGTAATAATAATATTTCCTTTATTAACTTGAAAATTAAATTCCATGCACAAACCATTTATTTTATCATTCAGAAACGGATAACTTTGTAGTAGTATTTTTATAGACAAAAGTGAATATATTGAATATATTCGAATACTTAAAATTAGTAGGTAATAACTACCACAAGTTTTGATATGAATTATTTGTTTTTTAATTTGCTAGTATTTGCACAACTGCAAAAAGTTAAGAATATCTTATATACAAATCTTTTTAACACGTTGATTACAAAAATTGTTTTTAGCAAGATTTGATAGACAGGGTGGAATACCAAGCCCAGGCAGCTCAGAACTACGTGGGGAGAGTACCAAAGGTGTTGAGTAACGCGAAAAAGAAAAGGATCAAATCTCTGAAGGTAAAAATTAAACACAATCATGTCGGTACTTATTTTAACATGTTTTTGTTTCAGTGCAAAATCTATTTGGCGATCGCGATTACAGTGCTAGTTGCTATAATATTAATATTATTGTTCAATTAATCGCAGTCCTGATTTTATATTTTGTGACATAAAACTATTTCAATAGCTTTTGTACTTTGTAAGATAATACATATTCTGTCTGACTAATTTTTACAATAAAATTTTTTCCATAAATATTTCTTGCTTTATATTTCATGCCTCCTTATTCAGAGTGTCTCACGTTGACGGCCCATTAGAATTAATTCAGAGACTACTTCGATTTGAATATTGAAAATTTGGGATACTGGGTTTTCGGGCATGCCCTTCTGAACTAAAATAATGGCGTCCACGTTATAGCGGAAGTCGCCATCAACTTGCTTATTTTAAATGGAACACCGTATATATTATTGCAATTTTGGATTCTACGTGTTATTTTAGGTGGACTTTTATGAAGTTTCCCTATTTCTAAAATTAACCGTTTTCGAGATACTTAATTTTTTTCAAAGAAATGGAGAGAAACAGTGACTAGCTTCAAACCATGTGTATTTTATAGTAAGAAAGATAAAGCAACAATATTTATAGGGGGGATAGCTAGACCCCTAAGCTTCCCAACCATACTTTCAAAGTGGCTTAATTGCATACAGGGTGCTAGAAATTTAATGCCGAGTTTAGTTAAATGCTCTAGTTCCCCCTCCATGCTAGACGTTTAAAATAACGTGATTTAGGAGGGAACTGAGGGCCCGCTTAAAGCTACTTGTAGTTTCAATCTTTGAGTTCACGGTTAATGTACGCTTAGCATAGTACGCGGGTAGTGTTTGATGTCAGTGTGAGCGATAAGGACAATGCAGGTATTAATTTAAAGTAAATAAAAACTACTTCCTTACAAAAAAAACAAAGTAAAACTAAATTTAACGTAATTTAATAGATAATTATTATATCATCAAATACCTACATAGGTAGCTAATAATGACAGTTAGTAAAATATTTCACAAATTTGAGGAACACGATATAGTACAGACCTTGCCCAAAACTGGACGGGCACGTGCTTTGAATGAAGAAAAGAAATTAGACATTGCATTAGAACTTGTTGAAAATTCTCATACTTCAACTGTTTCATTGGCCCGCAATCACGATGCTTCTCGAACTGCAATTCGAATGTTTCTGAAACAAGAGAAATACCACCCTTATAAGGTATGTCTTGTCCAAGAGCTTTTGGAAGACGATTATGATGAGCGATTACAATTTTGTGAGGAAATGATGAGACGGTGTGACGACAATAATGGTTTTCAACGAGACGTACTTTTTTCGGATGAAGCTACGTTTTATTTAAATGGAGTGGTTAACAGGCACAACTATCGCTTTTGGTCCCAGGAAAATCCACACTGGACATGCGAATCGCATACGCAGCATCCACAAAAAGTTAATGTATGGGCAGGTATCATCAACAACAGAATGTTGGGCCCATTTTTTTTTGAAGAAAATCTTACTACTGCACGCTACCTGGATTTCCTAACATTTGACCTGGTACCTGCTCTAGCTGTGATTTTCCCTAATGAAATTGATCCAGATATACCGAATGAAAGAATTTGGTTCCAACAAGATGGCGCTCCCCCACATTTTGGTATTGATGTTCGAAGATACTTAGATGAAATGTTTCCAAATCGCTGGATTGGTAGACGGGGTACAGTTGAATGGCTGCCAAGATCACCCGACTTAATACCCCTAGATTATTTTCTTTGGGGATATTTGAAAGAAAGAGTCTACCAGGACAGACTGGATAATATTGAGAATTTAAAAAACAAGATTAGGGCAGAGATGCATAATTTACCAGCTGAAGTCATTCAGAATGCTGTGGACAGCTTTTACTACCGTCTTGGAGAATGCCAAATAGTGAATAGAGGACATTTTCAGCATTTGCGACATTGAGTTTATTTTTGCAAATTATCTAGTTGTTTCAATTTCTAAATGAAAAAAAAAAAACTTGCTATTAAAAAAATAAAACTTGTTTATTTGGTATGGCTGGATTCGGTTTTCTATAAGCTTTTCAACGAGCCCCCTCATGCCTTATGTTTCCATTTGAAAAAAAAGTAGGGATAGGGTTAGGGGGTTGAAGAAAAATTAATTATTATATAACGGAAAGATGGGAAAAAATCTAAATCAGTTAACGTGTTTCGGGGTTTTAAAAAAAATTAACTCATTTAAAAGATATGAATTTTATTCCGTACTTCTGGCCATACCTGTATATAAAAATTGATTATTCCATTCGATAGAGGGCAAAAAGTTGCCATGAGTTCTTTTTTCAATATCACCTCAAACAAGGCTGAAATGAAACAAAAACGGATATCCAAAATTTCGGTTTTTTCAAATATTTCAAAAACTAATCATGTCAGCCAGATTTTTTAGAGGCATAATGTTGGTTCCCTGATTACGCAACTTTGCCCCTATTTAAGCTACTTCGTATCTCTTACCGTTTCCGAGATCCCTGTAGTGAGAAGCGAATTTGTAACAGCCTGTATATGCCTATACAAATAAATGTATGTTAGTTAACTGAAGGGTAGGTAACTATATTAAATGTGTATTATTAGATTTATAATTTGGGCCAATCAAAGCTCTTGGCATATTTTATTCAAGTATTGAGAAATGATTATAAAAAAATTTTCATAAATAGGTCAAATTTTGTTTATGAAAATTATGTTCTAATTTTATCTTTCGTATTAAAAAAACTTTATATCAGTCCAGTAAAATGAAATTTTGGTAAACTGGTAAATATCAACTGCCTTAGTAACTAAAACATATAATTAATTAATATTTAAGGTATTTTTAAATAATTTTAATAACTGAAAGAGATCATTTCTCAAATCATCTTAAAAGAATTTAATAACAAATTATCCCAATAAAAAGATTCTACCATAAAAGACCCTAAAACTACCTAGATATAAACCGACACAAATAAGTTTTCGTCTGAGATAGAGCTCCGCCCATAAATGCGCTGAATGCGTTCTTTCTCAACCTCACGCAGCTCTGTCATAAACCCAAACTTATTTGTCTCGAACTTTAAGATTGTTCTTATCAAGTAAATTTATTCGACAAAAATAAATTTGTTTCCATTCTTTTCTTTGGCATTAAGGAATTAAGAAATCATATAAGCTAGTTAATTATTTTGAGCATTTTTCCAAAGTAATCATAATGTAATACCACAGACAATATAGCTTATCGCCAGCTATTTTGTCTGTGGTAATACCGATTAAAGATCAGTGGGAATTGTCCAAACCCAATAGATAAAAATCACGCAGACAACATCTGTATATCGTAATTTTTTTAATATTAAAATCACTTATAATTTAAGTAGGTACTTATTATTAAGCGTCAGTAAAGTTAAAGTATATATAAATAATTCATTGTCATGGATAATAAACACAGGAGCATCGTATAGAGATAATGATAAAGAGAACTAAAAACATTCAAAGGTATCATATACTGATTTAATATCGCACGCGATAGTATTTGTAAGAAACCTTGTTTTTCTCTAGTTAACACGATTTGCAAAAAAAAATTAGTTGAAATAAAAAAATTTACGTGTCTTACCTTGTACCCTGATGCGAAGCAAATTCTCAGTTAAACTGTGATCAAAAAGTATAAATATAGAATATATATTTGTGTAACACCTACTGACTTACCATAATAATACGAATTAACATTTTTGAAACCGCTGAGTTCGACTGGCTCCGTTTAAGCAAATTCTGTACGTAAACATGTGCAGCAAGACTAACGTTTCCATATATTACCACCACATCCATTAATTCATTGTTACTGTTTGATGGATCATTTTAGTATGTTTATTCACACTTGTTACTGTTACAAACTATCTTCTGCATAATGAAAACTAAAGTGGAACTGATGATAACCTAAAATTAGCTGACAATTCTGTTTACAGCAAGAAAACGAGACAAATAAGTAGACGATATCCTGTCTGCGGCACAACTATTCATTTCTTTTGTTACAGAATGTTGGAAATAAGCAAAATCAAAACAAATTTTTAGGTTGGGTCCGACTGAATACTTACCTGGTTCTATGTTCAGTGCAGAACTAAGTTCTGTGGTTGAGAGGGAATAAGGTTAGAATATAAGGTTAAGTTTTGTTGTTGGGAATAAATGGAATAAAGTGTGTGTCGTACTTTGCATTATTATTAAAAGAAAACCTAAAATAAAAAGGCCAATATAACAGAAATATCAACACAGAAGACGATTCCAGAGTTCTCAATAAGTTTTAGTAATTTTAATTATTATTAAACCGTTTTGCAGTTTAAATGGTTTAGATTTTGGAAATTGAGGAGGAAATTACTTTTGTTGTTTATAGAAATGGAATTGTCTTTAAAAAAAATCCTAAATAATTCAACCAGAAGTGTTTCTGATCATTGTTAGAAAATCAAATGTGATTTGCTGGATATTAAATTGTTTAGGTGTTATCAGCTTTGCTTTTTCTCATTCGGCTGCAGAAAGAAAGACTGCAAAGTAATGTAGTTTTTCACAAACAATTAAATACAATAAAACAACTCAAAATATAAAATTAATTTATCATGCCATACGCAATTCTTAATTTCAGAGTTATTTTCAGTTCAGTATTTTTATTCTGTCAAATATCACAATTAAAAAATTCATCACAGTTTATCAAATAATCATAAAAATGCATAAATTCGACCATATTCAACTATAATTTTAAATTATAATCTGAGCGAAACCAAACAAATGTCCGTTTCAAATATTGAGCCTAACTCGGGCTTAAAATTAAGTAAAAAATTCACAGAATAAAAGCCTAAATTTGTGTATTTGTAGAGGTCGAGCGTCATATTGTTTATAACAAAAGAAAAAAAAATTGCTCTTTTTTCAGTTTTTCGCTTACATCTCTGAAAATGAGGTATACATATCGATGTTGTTCCTGAGGAAATTTGCTACAAGAATAAGCATTTGCGTAAGCTCGCAATTTTTTTTTTACATTGCAAAATTAGCGGTGAAGAAAAAAATGTTCAAAATTTTCAGCATTAAAGGCGTCGTATTCTTTAAATAGTGTTTTCCACAAAGACGAATAATTTCAAACATTTAATAACTGAATAATCTAAAGCTTATCAAATAATAGGAATGTTATATCATGCCACCTGAGTATTTTCAAAGACGACGCAGTAAAACGAATAGACAGATGC